TACTACTACTACTACTACTGATTATTTAATTACTAAGTACACCCCAACCCCCAAGCCCTGAACTCCCTGAAACCTTGCGCACTCACTGCCTCGCTGCCTCTGAGCCCCACCCCACCTTCCAACCTCCGAAGAAGCCCTGAACTCCCTGAAACCTCGCGCACTCACTGCCTCGCTGCCTCTGAGCCCCACCCCACCTTCCAACCTCCGAAGAAACCCTGAACTCCCTGAAGCCTTGCGCACTCACTGCCTGGCTGCCTCGGAGCCCGAAATCACCTTCCAACCTCTCAAGCAACCCTTTTAAAACCCAAAACCCTTGTAATTAATTAATTAATTAATTAAGGGCTCAGAATGGTTTAGGGTTTAGGGTGAGGAGGAAGGTTTCGAATTAGCCTGTCTGGCTGCTGCTGCTTGCGAGCTGGCCATGCTGACTGCCTGCCAGCATTCATCTTTGTGAAACAATTTAAGGGCTTTCCTGAGTCGCCCGGCCTGCTGGTCTGGCTGTCTTCTTCACAGGGGCTTTCCGGTCTGCTGCTTGCTGGCTGCGAGCTTCCACAACGTGAGCAATGCGAGCAATCAGCACTGCCTGCCTCTCTGAAACTCGTATGCAGTGGCGATGGTGGTTTTATTTCGTTAATTACTGACTTACTTAATTAGCAAGTGAAGCGACAGCTTATTTGTTGGCCCGTTCACTGCTCACACGGCTGTCTGGCGGCAGAGTGGCAGTCGCGGGCGCCTGGCCAACAGGCAATAATTAAAGGCACCATGCAGCCATGCACTGAGATTCCCAGTCTGCAATTGAGAACACAATCACTAACTGCTTGATTGATGAGTCAGCGATTCCCACTCTGAAGGCGATTTATTTTCTTGCCTGCAAGGGTGCGTCTCTGTCTGGCTGTCTGGCTGTCCGGCCACTGCCTTGTCTGGCTGTCTGGAGGCAGAGATCGACGGCCACTGCCTGCCTGCCTGCCCTACCACACAGGGTCAGGCGCCCCGTGAAGCTTGCAGGTGCGGCAGAAGTGCGGCCAGTGGCCGTCGATCTCTGCCTCCATCCGCTTGTTGCAAGGCTCGACCTTGCACTTGAGGCACTGCACTATGCAAAAGTGAGTGCACTGTGCCTTGCTGTAGCGGCCGCGGCCGCCTATCTTCCTGCCTCTGGCGACCACCAATCCTGTTGCGGGGATTGGAGTCTCTGTCTGGCTTTCTGGCTCCGGCCACTGCCACCAAGGTTTGGTCGACCACCAGTCTGACTGGCTGCTCCAGTCTGACTGGCTGCTCTGGCTGTACCACCCAGACCACTGGCTCGTCTGTGGCGGAGCTGGCGGTGGCGCTACCTGGTCTGCCTGACTGTCTTTCGGCCCCTTGTTCTTGTTCGGCGGCCTGCTCTTGTCTCTTCCTGCCTGGCCTGCCTGCTGGCCACCATCAGCGCCACCGTCGTCTGTCTTGTACTCGCTGATCTTGCCTCTCTTGTTGCTCACACTCCTTTTTCGAGCAGGGGCAGCTTGGGTGGCTTGGCTGTCTGCAGCTGCGGCTGTCTGTCCTGAGTCCGTCTGTGTCACTCGCTGGGCCAGGCAGTCCACCAAGCTGTGACACAGTCGTCGGACTTTCTCACTGTCTACCTGGCGTCCAGCTGTCTGGATCTCGCTGTCGGAGAACTTGCACAAGTACTCCAGGGCTTGCAAGGCCATGGCTGTCTGTCTGTCTGTCTGTCTGGCTACCTTTGTCTGTCTCTCACTCGTCTGTGTGTGTGTGTGTGTGTGTGTTTCTCACCTAGCTGTGTTCTGAAAGTAAGTCCTGTGCTGCTACTTACTGTTCCAGGCTCGCTGCCCAGTGTGTGTGTGTGTGTGCCTCTCATCTAGCTGTGTTCTGAAAGTAAGTCCTGTGCTGCTACTTACTGTTCCAGGCTCGCTGCCTGGATTGGAGCAGCTTGCTTTGCAGGTCGAATGGCAAATGAGAGCACCCCCTGCATGACTGAACAGGCTGCCTGCAGAAACGAGCACAGCAATCGATTCGGCCTGCACCGTCTGTCAGGCGACTCGGCTTGCTGTCTGCCCAGGAAAAGACGGCCTGCATGCTTCTTTTCGGCAGGAAACAAACTTTGACGGAAAGTCGTTCTTGTCTATCTTTGACCAATTACTTAATAATTATCACTGAACAAGCCGTCTGGTGTCTGCACAATCGAAGAGAGTCGGCCTGCAGCGGCTGTCAGGCGTCTCGGCTGGCTGTCTTCCGGCAAACCCGGCCTGCATGTTTCGTTGGAAAAGGAGACAGAGAATGGAAAGTGACGGATCTCGGATGGTAAAGTTACTGAATTGATTGATCTGGTTGTCTGTGCGAGCGTCTGAATGAAGTCCTGCCTGCGGGACTTCCTTTCAAGTCAGCTTTCCTTCCCGGCTGGTGCGAGCGGTCCGTGGAAGTTATAATAGATGTTGAAATCCAGATAATTAATGAAGTAGAACTAATTGATTAATTAGACTGAAACTAACTACCTGGTGCATGAAGGACGATACTGATTATGTCTGAGTAATTAATGGCACTTCCAGTAATTAATTAATGAATTAAGCTCGTACTACAATCCAGCACCATCCTGCCCAGCATGCGAAACGAGGCACTTCCAGTACTAAGCTTGTACTACGATCTGCCACAATCCAGCCTGCTTGCGAAACGAGGCACATCCAGTACTAAGCTTGTCCTACGATTTGGCACAATCCAGCCAGCATGCGAAACGAAGCACATCCAGTAATTAATTACTAAGCTTGTACTACGATTTGGCACAATCCAGCCAGCATGCGAAACGAGGCACATCCAGTACTAAGCTTGTCCTACGATTTGGCACAATCCAGCCAGCGTGCGAAACGAGGCACATCCAGTACTAAGCTTGTCCTACGATTTGGCACAATCCAGCCAGCATGCGAAACAAGGCAAGTAGGCCCCGCCAGTCTCAGCCAGCCAGTAATTATCAGCCGAGCCAGTCCCAGTAGTAGTGTTGTACTACCATGAAGCAGGACCTGCCTGGTGTCGGGCTTCCTGACACAACCAGGGGAGCATCTTAACCACAAGACCATCAAAACCCTACTTCCCTGCGGTTTGCGCTGATCTACCCGTAAAGGTAAGTCTTTTGATCTATGGCTCGGGCAACAAAGCCCAATCCTTAACCACTGAGCCAAAATTGGTTTTGCAGCTCTGCCTGCATCCTAGACGAGGCAGGAAATACTAATTGGACAGAGCTGATGGTCGGGACTCGCTGGGTCCAGCGGCCACCATTGGAGGTGTTAGCAACTGCTCCTGTTTTTTGGTGTAGGCTAAAGTCCAGGGCTAAGCCCCTACCTCTGTAAATCCGTCTGGAGCTGCAGCTGGAAGACTGGCATCGATTGCTCAGCATGGGCCTGGAGCTGTGTACACAGCAGGAGAGACTGAAGTGCACAGCAAGGCGACCGGCCAGCGCTTGAAGCTTCACATCAAGCTCAGAAACCCGAAGCTACAGGGCAAGCCTCACTGCAGTCGGCACTGGGAGGCTCAGCAAAAGGGGGTGGCGACTCGGAGCACTTACCGGAGACCCCACCGGGCTGCGACTATTGTGATTATGACCGGGTGGTCGACCGACTCGGGATGGTGACATGACTGAACAACCAATTAGGCCGCAGGCGATCTGGAAAGGGAAGGCAGTTCAAGCGCCACCCGTAATCAGCTATTTGGAAAGGACTTCATGGGCCTTCGAAAAGGTGTCTAGCAAATGACGGCGCCTGGAGTCTCTCCGTGACTGCACATGGGGTCACCGCCGTGCCTGCACATGGGGTCACCGCTGTGCTAGCAACTATCTTTCCATAGCCTAATGGGTGAGCGGAGGTTTCATATCGAAGGCAAGGAAAAAGCCTCTGGTTCAATCCCCAGAGGCGTCATTTAGGCCCTTTCCCCGCCTGGAATCGAGACTTTGGGTGACCAAAAGCTCTGGGCACCCTGCGTCGGGAGTACTGCCAGTTTGCTGCATAATACTGCACCACGGGTCATCACTGCACTGCTGCCAAGTACTGCACTACTGCCAAGTACTGCACTACTGGTCATTGCTGCACTGCTGCCAAGTACTGCACTACTGCCAAGTGCTGCACTACTGGTCATTGCTGCACTGCTGCCAGTTGCTGCACTACTGCCAGTTACCGCACATCTAGTCAAGTCTGCACTACTGCCAAAGAATGCCTTTTCAAAAAGTACCTTGCGAAACAAAGCACTTCCAGTACTAAGCTTGTACTACGATTTGGCACCATTGAACTAGCTTGCGAAACGAGGCACTTCCAGTACTAAGCTTGTACTACGATTTGGCACAATTCAGCCAGCTTGCGAAACAAGGCACTTCCAGTACTAAGCTTGTACTACGATTTGGCACCATTGAACTAGCTTGCGAAACGAGGCACTTCAGTACTAAGCTTGTACCGATTTGGCACAATTCAGCCAGCTTGCGAAACGAGGCACTTCCAGTACTATGCTTGTACTACGATGTGGTACAATTCAGCCAGCTTGCGAAACGAGGCACTTCCAGTACCAAGCTTGTACTACGATTTGGCACAATTCAGCCAGCTTGCGAAACGAGGCACTTCCAGTACTGAGCTTGTACAACGATGTTGCACAATTCAGCCAGCTTACGAAACCAGGCACATCCAGTACGAAGAAGTAATTACTGTATATTTAGAACTCGAGATGTAATTCATTAGTTGTGCACGAGATGGCTCCTGAGCTGCCTGGCTTTCCAAGAGCCTTCGCCTTTGCTTTGGCCTTGGTCTTGGCCTTGGCCTTGGGTGCCTTTGCTGCCTCCTCTGCCTGTTTGTGTGCCTGGCTACTCATATACTTCAAAAACTGCGTTCTGTTGCAGCGAAGGCAGCCACTCAGAGCAAAACTGCAGTGGGCACAGCCAAAAACGATGGTGTCTCCTGCTGTCTGGCTGTCTTGCTGCTGGCTCTCTTTCTGTCTGGCTAGCTCTTTGCTTCGCAGCAGCAGCTGAATCCAGCGGTTCAGCTGGCTGCTTCTGGCTGGCAGGTCTTTCTGCAGTGGCTGCGGGGCCTCACCCATCCACCGCCGCCACTCCTGCTCCAGGTACAGCAAGACCCAGAGGCCGCAGGAGAAGCCCTCTGTCTGTCTGAGCAGACTGACTGGCGCAGGCAAAGGCTGGGCCTGTTTCTTGGCTGTCTGCAGCAGCACCTTCAAAACTGCACTGACTTCCTTGTAGGCTGCCTCACCGGGCAACGTGTCATAGTACCTGACCTTCGCTTCGGGGCTGTCTCTGACTGTCTCGACCACCAGCAAGGACCAGTGTTTCGGAGGCTGGCTCTGCACGACTGCCAAGACCAAACCAGCCTGGCTGTCCATGGCTGTCTTTGCTGCTGCCTTGAGTGTATGTGTCTGGATTAGTTGCTTGGCCTCTGCTGGCTGCAAAACACACAGGCTGGCTGGCTCTGCTCCATGGGAGAATCGGTATGACATCTCCCTGATGCCAGCTTGGAGCTGGCTGTCTGTCAGCAGCTCTGCGCGCTTGTAAAGCCGCAAATCTTTTGCACTGGCTGCCGCTTCCTCACTGGCTGCAGCACTGGGGAAAGAGTCAATATCCAAAACCAGCGCAAACTGTCTGTCTCTGACGTCCAGCGTAATGTCTGTGTGGCTGACCCATTCATGAAATCCATCAGCATTGATCAGGACTTGGCTGTCTGTCTGCTTTCCACACACCACGATCTTGCCCAGCAGCGTCTGCGGAGCCAGGTCACCGATCACTCGAGCTTGCTTGCCATGCAAGTGTCCCTCGCTGCCTGGCTCGGCTGCCCGTCTTTGAGCCTTCTTCGCCTGGTCTTTCTTCTGCTTTTTTCTGGCCCACTTTGGGCACGACAGACAGCAGAGCCTGCTTCTTTGTCTTGTTGGCTTGCTGCTGTCTCCATTCTTTCAAGAGTTTGCGCCTTTTTCTGTCTTGCTTCGCGTTCTTGAGCCTTTTTTCCTTTTTCTGCTGCTTCTCAGTCTTTGTCTGGCTTGTTGTCTGGTCCACCTGTTCCTGGAAAAGCCGTCTCCTCTGGTTCGGGTGGACCTGTCTCAGAATGACCTCTCTGAGCTCTCTTTCTGACTGAGCAAGGAGATTGGGCTTCGCTCGGAAGCTCAAGTGTATGCCTGTCTGGCCAAGCAGGTACGTAGCCTCGGGTTCGAATGCCTTGGATTCATCAAATGTCTTGCTGTCTGCCTCTGTCCACGGAAGCACCTTGCCTGTCTTGTCCACCCAACGAGACCTGTCTCTGAGGTGGTCGCTGCCTAGCTTGGCATTGCCTTCAGGGAAGTCCAGACACCATTTCTGGCTGCCACAGTCCTGAAGCCTGCCTTCACTGTCTGGACGGAAGTGGAATCAGCCTCCCTGCCGCATGCAGCGAACGACTGTCTTCTCTGTCTCATTCAACTGCACCATCCTGGCGTGCATCTGTCTAGCTGCCTCCAGAATGTCTGCCGGGCCTGTCTTATAGGTGCAATGCACCTTTTGCTGTCTGGCTTTCTCTCTCATGCGCTGCTTCAGGTCTTCCTGCCACCTCCGGAGAGCTGCCTTGGCTGGCTGGGCGAACCCGATGTCTGTCACCTGGCTCAAGCCGGTGCACCCGGCTGCAATGCCTGTCTGAGCTCGCTGCAGGAGTGCAGCGGCGTGCATGGACTCCGTCGTCCATGCTCCGCCGAACATATCGACGAGCTGCACTGCATGGCTGTGCTCTTCTGACTCGAGCTCTAGCTGCCATCTGTAAATCACGCTATCTACCACTGCTGCTGGCTGGCACCACACCCTGACACTGCCATCAAACAGGTGTGGCTGGGTCTGTCGCAGTTTGCGCCAAGTGCGCATGACCTGTCCTGGCACTCGCTGGCCTGCCCTCTCCTGACTGTCTGGCTGCCTACCTGGAAGCACTCGGACTTGATCCACGTGCCTTCCTGGCTGATGTTTTCAAGTCTGCAGTGTTTGCCGTATGTGACGAGTATCGTGGGCATAACGACACCGACTGGCTGTCTGTCTGGCGCAAAGAAGTTCTGCACTGCCTGTCTAGCTACCAAGCTGATTCGCCACCTTGCTGCCACACCTGGGGCTCGAGCAGCACATGCCAGCCTCGGTGCCTCGGTTGGTTTCGAAAGCATGAAGGTGCATGAAGGTTTAGGCTTTGGCTTTTGGGTTTAGGGTTTAAGGAAACCCTAAACCCGAAACTCCACTTCGAATCCACCCAACAAAACCGCCAAGGTGCGGCCTTGGCTTTGGCCGAAGGTTTGGCCTTTGCCTGTCCTTGTCTGGCTTTCCTGTTCTCTCGCCTGATCTTGCTTTGCTCGCTGGCTAGCTTCAAGCGCACCACCGGTGTCAACACCTTCCCTGGCGTTGGCTTCAGCCAAGCAGGTACTTGATCTGACATGGTGATGGCTGTCTCTGCTCGCTTTATTGCCCACTGCTCTGGGCTTGCTACAGGCAAGTCCGGCTGTGGAGTGGGACTGGCTGCCTGTTCCAGAAGCATGTCCCAAAGTCGCCAGGAGAAGTCTAGCCTGGCTTTCTCTTCCTCCTGGCTCAGGTTGGCTGTCTGTTGGCAGGATCTGTTTCGAAGACCGCACTTTGCGAGGAGCTGGACCTGGTACTTGCTCCTCTGCTTTGGCTTGCTGGCTAGCGAGGCTTTCTTTTGCACCATGGCTGCCAGCTCCTTCTCACCTGTCTGGTCAAGAAGACCCTTTTCCTGTTCTGCCTGCCTGACTGCAATGGCTTTGTCGAGCCTCTCTTCGAAGTCCATCAGCACGTCTGTGCTCGTCAGGACGTGCTGGCTGGCTTCCTCAGTCAAGGCCCAAGCACGGGTCTCAGACCAGACTGGCTGGAGAAAGTCTGGCCTACCCAGCACTTTGCCTGGGTCAGGCAGTCTCCTGCCTGTTGACTTGCTGACGAGGTGCACGAGACCCAAATGGCTGCCTGCCTGTCTGGCACTCTGTCCTCGCCCCGTGCTGGCGAGAAAGTTTCTGACTTTCTTTCTGTGATAGTCTTTTTGCAGGCTGAAGCAAAAAGACTCGCTCACGCCATACAGCCTCATGACATGCTGCCTGGCTGCACGGCGACTTTTCTGCTCTACGGCTGCTCTGTCTAAGTCTTCCATCATGGAAAGCTTGGCTCTGGCTGTCACATCACATCGCTTCTTGCGAAGATGCGGCACCCGTTTCGTCTTCTGCTTACTGCCTAGCGGTCTGCCTCCCTGTCTCTTTTTAAGAACTCCAACAGCTGGCTCCAGTCCGAGCTTTTCCACTGCTTGGCTGGCTTTCTGCTGCAGGTTTTGCAGGTTCTCCGCTTGCTGCTGTTTCTGTCTGTCACTAGCTGTGTCTGGCGAAAGGCCGGGCTTAGCCTCTGCCTCTGCTGCCTTGCCCCAAAGGTAGTCTAGCCTGTAGTAGACTGGACTGCCTTGGCCTAAGGTCTTTTTGAGCTGTTCTATCTTTCTCTTTTGCACAGGGTTGCTGTCTGGGCTCTGGCTGCCCGGGCTCTGGCTGCCTGGGCTCTGGCTGTCTCTACCCTTGCTGTCAGGACTGAACAGACGCCTCTTCGGCGAAGGTGTGTGAAAGCTAGCCTGCCTCTTGACTCCTCTAGCTGTCTGGCTGCTGTCTAGGCTGTCTTGGCTGCTCTGCCTGCAAACCACTGCCTGTGGTTCTTCCGTGATCAAGTCAACTACCTCTACTGTCTTGGCTGTCTTCCTTCTTTTGGCTTCCCTCTCGTCGTCCTGATGTTTAGAGCCATTCGGTCAGTTCATTCATCAGCACCCCTGCGCCTTGTCTCAAAGCATTCTCCAAAGCGGCTCGCAGCTTGGCCTGCACGTTTGGAAAAAAAGAAACAATCAGAAGAAACATGCCAGCACCTCCCAGACAGCATCCGAAAAGAGGCACTTCCAGTACTAAGCTTGTACTACAATTGAGCACCATCCAGCCAGCATCGGACAGGAGACACTTCCAGCACTAAACTTATACCAATAAATTGCAATGCAGCATCATCCAGACAGCATCCGAAACGAGGCACTTCCAGTACTAAGCTTGTACTACAATTGAGCACCATCCAGCCAGCATCGGACAGGAGACACTTCCAGCACTGACATCATCCAAACAGCATCCGCAAAGAGGCGCTTCCAGTACTAAGCTTGTACTACAATTGAGCACCATCCAGCCAGCATCGGACAGGAGACACTTCCAGTTTTGACCTTGTGCTTGTGCTAATTGTATTGTCGCCCGTGGTGGGCTGGGCGGCATGAATTTTTGAAGATGCCCTTGCCGTTCGTCCATGCTGCCCAGGATCTGTCGGGCAGCCTTCCAGCTCCTGGCAGCCACGGCGATAACCACTAGACCATGAAAACCCTGCCGTTCTGTTTTTGACGGTTTGCGTTGATCTTAACTCATCGTAATTCTCAGACTTTCTGGGAATGAGAGAGGGATGTTCCGCATATGTAAGCATTGCTTCGCTCCTCGAAAGGGAATGGGGTTAACCTCCCCCAACCAGGACGTGGATACTGTACGGCAACGTGAAAGAATTCGGCCACGCAGGAGAGAGCCCTGGGAAGCGTTGTCTTTTCTTTTTAACCGCCTTTTACCCTGGAATCAGATTATCTGGAGATAGGGTTAAATAGCGGGTAAAGCACCTTGTCTTCCGAGGGCAAATCGTTAACCACTGCGCCAAAATTTGATTTTGCTGTCAGTAATTACTGCATTTGGAGTTGCACCCGCGAATCGTGCTTTGCCTTCTTCTATCTGGCGAATCACTTTTGCACTCTGCATCTCCTAGAGAAAAATTGTGTATTGCTCGTGATAATCTCCTATGGACAAGAATTGCACCACCTTCACATGCTTCAGGATAGCCGAGGGCATAGTGCTACACCCTGAGTGGAAAGCGCCGGGGCTCGATTCCCCCGCCTGTCATTCTGCGCCTCAAGGATTAATTACTCTGAGCACCAATGCACATGTTGCAGAAAGATCCGGCCTTCTCCTGCGCTTCCTCGCCGCCCATGGCAAGCGAAGCACTCACTCGGTCCTGTCTGCCTAAGAAGTGAGTGTGAGTGAGTGTCTGTGTTTGAGTGCTCCGGTGGGTCTCACAGCACCCTGTCTGTGCTTGAGTGTGAGTGTGAGTGTGAGTGTGTGTGTGTGTGTGTGTGTGTCCGTGTGTGTGTGTGTGTGTGTGTCTGAGTGTCTGTTTGACAGCTTGTGGCTCGGGCCTTCGTGCCCCAAGGCACAAAGGCCTCCTTTGAGGCTGCCTGTCTGCGGCGGAGCGGGCAGATTGCTGACAGAACTCAACACACCCTCTCAGAAGCAAAGCACCTGTAGCGAATGCCAGAAGCTTAGAACATCATTAATTAATTCTTATCATATTTAATTATCATTTATTAGTCATTAATGATAATTAAGTCTTTCACATATTTCCAAGCTTCTGGCATTCACCACATGTGCTCATTTATTTATCGCTTTTTTTTTCTATTTAATTACTTGTAGAACCTGTGTTTCTGGCAGTTGAGATAACAACAGCCCCATAATTATAAAAACATTCCCGAGTTTTTATTTAGGGCGAAGGGGGGGGGCCCGACCATTTAATGTTAGGGGGAAACGATTACTACTACTACTACTACTACTACTACTCCTGCTGCTGCTGCTGCTACTGCTACTGCTACTGCTACTGCTACTACTACTACTACTACTACTACTACTATTGCTACTACTACTACTACTGCTACTACTACTACTACTATTACTACTACTACTACTACTACTACTACTACTACTATTACTACTACTACTACTACTACTACTACTACTACTCCTGCTGCTGCTGCTAGTAGTAGTACTAGTACTAGTACTAGTACTAGTAGTAGTACTGGTACTAGTACTACTACTACTACTACTACTACTCCTGCTGCTGCTGCTGCTAGTACTAGTACTAGTACTAGTACTAGTACTAGTACTAGTACTAGTACTAGTACTAGTACTACTACTACTACTACTACTACTACTACTACTACTACTACTACTACTTCGACAACTGCTACCACTTCCACTACTGCTGCTACAACTTCTACGTTTAACACTACTGCTACTACTAATAACATCACTACTACTGCGACTCATACTGCTAGCGCTACTCACTGCTACTACCAGTCGTACTGGCTGGCGGCGACGACGACTAGTGCTACTACTGCTACCGCTGCCACTTGTCCTGCTGCTTTGCTGCTGCAACACGACCTGTTCTGCACATATCTCCTTGAGATGTGTTTGTTCACGGAACATTCTGTGCAAAATGTTTCGTGATACCGGGGTGATCGGAATCGAAGAGCAGAAGTCGTTGCCGCCAACGTTGATTGCGAAAGCCGGACGTCCCGCACTTTCTAGAAACATGTTTTTATTGTATTCCAGCCCCCTTTCATGCCACACCCCATACATACGACGCGTGCTACGCGGAAGAACACGACGACGACGAAGACAAGGCGGACCAATACGACAGCAACTGCAACATAAACGACGGGTTTTATGGAAGACAGTAACCAGGACCAGGAACAACAGCTGCAGCAGTAGCATTGGAGCTTTTCCACCAATTGCAACGTCTTAGACGCGAACCAGTGCCATGCTTTGGGTTGACTTCACATGTGTGACTGAGCCTTCTCGTAAGTGCTTTGCTCCCTGGCAGCGCCTGCAATACTCGACGCACCTAGCTCAAGCTGGTGATTGGGAAGGCCACAGCATGCCGTGATTGCGTATGTGACTCTAAACGGCCGCTGACGGAACAGTTTCCTGCGATCTCACTTGAGCGGCAGGGCTGGATGACTCCTCATGGCGACCCGACACAAGTTTGGAGACTCTGCAATCACTGAAGGAGCAAAGAAATGGTGACCGGAACGGGATGGTGCAAGTGATCGTGTGAGAGATGTGCGGCTGGATGCAGTGATTTGAGGCTCAGCAGCTGATATACAATAATTTTTTTACAACTTACGGCTCTCGAAGCAGAGAGGGAGAGAGAGAGAGAGAGAAAGCAGCCTGCAAAGTGTCCCATCAGGATCTGCACGCCAGCAAGAAGCACTAGACTTGCACTAGCCTCTTCGGCGGCGAAGCCGGCTGGGTTACCCTTAACACTTTTGTTGACAAAGGCGGATTTTGATGCCGGAAGGAAGCACGTGCAAAGAAGAGACTGTGGCTTCATGCCTATTCATGCTCGGGACTTCGACGGCCTGACATCTGAGTTTTGGCACACCATCCACTCCGAACCTGAGCAGATGGCTGAGCTCATGAGCTCCGATTCCTCGCAAGTACCGCAGGCGGGTAGTTGACCGGAGAGCAGCGCGTCCAAGCGAGGGATGCGGGATGCTTGACATGCAGTTAGCGAGAGCGCAACATCGAGCAACTACAGTCAGTCCGCCAGAGCGTCTTTGCAGCCTTTGCAGGATGGCGCTCATCCTGCAGGCAGCGAGTCCCAGGGCCAAGCAAGAATCCTGAGTGAGACGCATTTGTGCGCGAGGCAATGACCAGTTGATAGCAGCTCTTCAAGCGAGACTGAAGCACGCCTGGCAAACTTGGGATGTTCACGTTCCGGCGTGGCTGCAATGTCTTTGGGGATGGACCTGATGCCTAGTGTCCTGACGGTCTTGGAGGCGAGCTTTAAGCGAGCTCCGCGCGTGTTCGAGCCTCAAATATACGTGGTCGAAGCCTACATAGTCTCAGTTATGCGTGCTCAAGGCAGGCAAAACGAGAATGCAACTACGACAGACAGGCCGCACTTCAGCTGTGATGTGAAGGACCTGTGCCAGAGACAAGCAGAGAAACCGTTTATTGTCGACTTGCAAGTCTTGCGCTACAAGCTGCCAGGATCACGCTGATGTTTTGGGGCCTCATCTTGAGGTGGACTTCATGCCAGAGTTGCTTGTCGTAGCGCGAGCGTGCCTACGACTGGCCAGGAGGCTTGCGTCACACCGGGCAGAACGACCAGGTCCAGCAATGTTCAGGCGAGAAATGTTGGTTTGATAGGCTTTTCGGTTTCAGCATATGTAAACGAAGGCCAACTCAACGCCTGCATCTGGCATGGAGGAGGACAACAAGTTCTTGTGCCTTTGCTCTTGTGTTGCAAAGTCTCTAATCTTGTCTGGGTCAGGTCGATCGGAAACTCACAGAGGAGCTGAGCATGGCGAAGGCTTGAATGGATCAGAGCTTCCAGAATTGCAACAGTTGCGTGCTTGTTAATTTCTTGAGGCATTACTGATGCTGAACAACGTCTCTCTGTGCATGGACCTAGACGAGGGAGCCGAGGCCAGTCTCTCATGACGGAAGTTTCATGCCGTGTGCTGGCAGCTTAGAATGGCAAACATGTGTCTGCAGTTTTCATGGCACAGGACCTAAGCGCTGCGGATGTTGTCCGGCTGAAAGGCCTGCTTCGAAGAGACTCGCTGTCAGAATTGCTCGTGCAGGTGACGGCTGTTGAAAAGGATGCCATTTTCACAATCTTAATGTTGCTGTTGGCGTTGGTGTTGCTGTTGGTGTTGTTGGTGCTGTTGTGGTGTTTGTCGTGGCTGTTGGTGTTGGTGTTGTCGCTGGTCTTGTTATTGTTGTTGTTGTTGGTACAGACAAAAACAGCAGCCCGTACTTGTTGTTAATTAGAAGCAATCGGGAATGCTTCCGGCGACCGCATAGGGTGCCTGTAGAGTTTTGGGAAGTTCAAGCCATGCCTGCCCCATGATAGAAATGTGGTGTAGGCTGGGTGGTTGTTGTAAAAGGGGGGGGTCAAAACAACAGACGGGGCTCCAGTTTTTGCCTCTACTACAGGGGGTAGAGACAAAGGCACCAGCGAAATCAGGACTTTGTCTCTACCCCCTGTAGTAGAGGCAAAAACTGGAGCCCCGTCTGTTGTTTTGACCACCCCCCCTTTACAACAACCGCCCACATTACACCACATTTCCACCACAGGTATAAGAATCTGCGATATCCAGAAGGGGTTCTGATGGGTGTTGGAAGGGCTTGTCTGGAATTTTGAGGGGTTTGCATTGGATACCCGTACACTCAAAACTATAGTTACCAGTTACTATACAGTAGTTTGTACAGGCCTCGCAAATGCATATTCTGCTCGGCGGGGAACCACCAAATGCACTGAAATACACACCAAATCCACTGAAATACACACCAAGTACACACCAAATCCACCGAAATACACATTAAATCCATTGAAATACACACCAAATCCACTGAAATACACATCAAATCCACTGAAATGCACACGAAATCCACTGAAATAAACACGAAATCCATTGAAATGCACATCAAATCCACTGAAATGCACACGAAATCCACTGAAATAAACACGAAATCCACTGAAATACACACCAACTCCACTGAACTCCGCACCAAATCCATTGAAATACACGCGCAATCCACTGAAATACACCCGAAATCCATTGAAATACACACCAACTCCACTGAGATACAGACGAAATCCACTGAAAATACACACCAAACAGTATACATCACAGGCATCCACAGGCACTGTGTTGTTGTTGTTGTTGTTGTTGTTGTTGTTGGGTTGTTGTTTGTTGTTGTTGTTGTTGTTGTTGTTGTTGTTGTTGTTGTTGTTGTTGTCTGTTGTTGTTGTTGTTGTTGTTTGTTGTTGTTGTTGTTGTTGTTGTTGTTGTTGTTGTTGTTGTTGTTGTTGTTGTTGTTGTTGTTGTTGTTGTTGTTGTTGTAGCCGCTATGGATCACAGCAGGCTGTATAGCACTGCTAACAGGGCTCCGGGTACCAACGCTAGAGGCTCGCAACGGCCCCCTTCTGCGAAGCTTGAGGGACTGTCCTCTTTCTGAGCCATAGCCATCCCTGGAGCCACGTGTCGCTGTGATCTACCGGGTCCCAATTCCCGGGCCTCTGTCTGCAGTTATACAACATTGGCAAGAGGTAAGCGGTAGTGGTTTTCACCTATCCGCGAGGTGAAGGGAGTCGGATCGAGTTCTCTCTTTCCGGCGAAACTAGCGGACGGCGCCAACGCCAATGCACCAGCATTCCTTTGAGAGCATTCGCAAGAAGGCCTTTCGAAAGGCTTGCAATAGGGTACACAGAACACAGGAAAGCATCCAGTATAGAAACGGCGTGCTGACGCCTGAGCATCTGCGTCGCAGTGGACTTACCCCACCCTCTCCTCCCCTCCTTCCTGTACAGCCTAGTTCCACGGATCCTTCGGCTCCCTCAGGCCGCACAGACAGCTTCCGCTCACGTCCGCGAGGTGGACGCGCCAGCAAGTCGCTCCGTGTCCTCTCATGGAATGCTGGGCACCTTGGCATCCAGCAATGGGCAGAAGTGAAGACATGGCTACACACCGAGGCCCAATATGTCTGTGATATTTTAGTCCTGCAGGAGACGCACTGGAGCGAAACAGCAGAGTTTGACGTTGAGGGTTGGCACTGCATAAGCTCTGCCACCAAGGGCGCTGCCCGGGCACCCAAAGCCAAATCAACTTCAGGGCAACGCTCAGCGCGAAGTGCTGCATCGCAGCCGGCGATACATGACACTGGTCGTGCAGATGGGGTTATGGTCCTCCTTTCCCCCTTGATAGACAAGAAAAAGATTAGATGGCGCGAACAGCGCCGAGGCCGACTCATTCAAGTCACCTTTCCGTGGCTCGGAGCTCGAATTCATGTCTTTGCGGTCTATCAACATGCGTGGTCTTCTAAGAAGACTCCTCAACAAAACAAGGAAGATCGCTCGCGCCTGCTACGTGACCTGTCCTCATCCATCAGAGCTGTTCCGGCGAGGGACACATTTCTGCTGGCAGGTGACTTCAACGCACGCTTGACCCCGCAAGAGGGTCTGGTAGGACGGTGCAGCACTAAGCCAGAGCACTCTCAAATGCAGGACGAGCAGTTCCAGGCCTTGGTTACATCTCACAGACTGGTAGCGCTCAACACTTGGTCCTGCGGCACTGGACACACTTTCTTCCTGAACGGCAAGGGCTCACAGATTGATTTCTTGCTGACTTCTGAGGCCTCAGCGAAAGGTATGGCCAAGCGTGCCGGGCCACGACAGGACCTGCAACTTGGACGGTGGAAACGCGGAGGTCATATGCCTGTATTCGCTCAGCTCCGCCCCACCCAGCACTGGAACTTGCCCAAACCTTCCAGCCCCTCCCTGACCTACAATAAGGAGGCCCTGGAAACAGCCGTTCGCTCTGGCCTGCCCATTGCTGACCGTATGCAAGCCTGGGTGAGCCAGCGCCTATCTTCCAGGTACCACATGCCCGACGAGGTCAACCAAGTGCTGCTCGAGGCCTCAGCTATGTTTTTTCCGAAACCCAGACCTCAGCAAGTGCCGGAGACCGCGCAACACCGCGCAACCTTGCGCATGTGGAACAGAGTAGCACACATTCGCTCTCTACATGAGGACTCTGTCACCACACTAGCCGACCTAGATCAGTCCCTGGAGGACCTGAGCCGATGGCACAAACAGGCTCTTTACCTGGCGAAGAAGGAACGCCATCGCGCATTTCAGGCAGAAGTTGATGAAGCATGCGCCCGCCATGACTCGTACATTGCTCACAAAACCCTCAAAAAACTCAGGCCATGGGCACCACAGACCAAAGCACAGCTTCAGGGCCCGGATGGTTTGCTCCTGGACTCACACTCAGAGCTCCGTTTGCTCCGCGAGCACGTGGAACAGGTTTTTGCCAAACACCCTCCCCTAGATCACCTTGTAACTTCTTTGCCGGACATCCCGGCAGGACTGCTAGCCAAGCACATCGGTTCTATACGACCACACAAAGCGGTCCCTCAAGGCTCCGCACCTGCGGCGTCCTGGCGATTGTGCTCGGCGGATGCGGGTGAGGCTTTAGCAGCAACGCTGCAGTCCATTGGGCAACGCCCACAGTCGGCTGAGGATGTTCTTCAGCCACCGCTCAAGGATGCTGACATGTGTTTTATTAAGCCCAACAAGCCAGCCACGAAGCCTAGCAATCTACGCCCCCTGGGCATCATACGCCCTGACGGGAAAGGCCTGGCAGGGGCCTGCAGAGACAAGCTATCTCCCTACACGGCTAAATATCTTCGGGGCCTTCCTCAGTTTGCCTACCAACCCCAACGCGGTCTATCTGATGCGCTAGGCAGGGTCGTAGGACATGTCACTCAAGTGCGCAGTAACTGCCAGGAGGCCCGGCGAACCAGACACCAGATTCACGCAGGACATACACGTCCTCAATTGATAGGAGGCATTTGCTTTGCTTTGGACTTGTCGCAAGCCTTCGATATGGTGAACAGGTCCGACCTACTCAACACACTGCACGACGCAGGTGTCCCACAGGACCTCATTGATCTTGTCGCCTCCTTGCACGCAGGCAGTTCGTATACTTTTCGCACGCAAGGTGAAGCCGATACCGTCCAGTCCACGGCGGGTATTAAACAAGGATGCAAGCTTGCTCCCACTCTCTTCTCTATGCTCACAGGCACCATTTTTCGAGAGCTCATAGCTCTAGTAGGAGCCAAAGCTGTAGTGGACTACCTCACCGGCTACGCGGACGATCTGACAATCCACCGAGACATCCACTCGCTGGAAGATCTAGAACGCGCTCATGCATTGATAGAGCAGTTGTTGCAGTTGGTCCGCAGTCATGGCTTTGCAGTGAACAATTCCAAGTGCACAGTCATGGTAAAGCTCGAAGGCCAACAGGCGCAACGCGCCCTGTCCCAGCACACGTATTGGCGCACCGCGTCTGATGGTACTCGTCACAAGATGTGGCGGTTGGGGACATCCAAGTCTCACGAAGGCTTTCCAATGGTCACGTCTTTCAAGTACTTAGGAGTCATGCTCTCCTACTCGAATTTCGAGAAAGCCACTCTTACATTCCGGCTGCAGGAGGGCAACGCCAAACTGCAACAGGTACGTCGCTTCGTTCACAACAGACGCACTGCAGGGCCGAAATCGAGGCTCCATATCTGGCACAGCACCGTCTGGGCGACGGTGGCTTCTGGGCTAGTCGACGTTGGTCTCACTCTCGAAACGGCTCGACTTTTGCGCGCCTGGCACGCTCGCAAGATTCGTGCGGTTCTTAACAATCCGGTGCATCTCACCCACATGTCAACCTCTGACCTTTACGCTTCCTACGAGATCATAGATCCCATTTGTAAGCTACAGGCGAGACAGGCCAATCGTGTCAAACGCTTGCATCTCCGCCAAAAGAAAACACCGGCAGGAGACGTCTCGCTGACACAGAAAGCTGTGCACCAAGCGGAAGCGCTCTCTGTTGGGTATACAGAGGTTCTCCAGCAGCTCTCCGAAGAAATCAAGCAACAGGAAGCCTCCCAATCGTATGCATGCCCAACATGCGCTCAGGCCTTTGACACCGAGGTCGGCCTACGCACACACCAGGCACGCAAGCACCCAGGCTCGGTCCTCAGATATGTCCCTAGAGCCTTCTCCCACACCCTTTCGGTAGGAGGGCTTCCTAAGTGTGCAGCATGCAACCGGCAATTCCCTCAGATGAAAGGCTTAAAGGACCATTTGTTATCAGGCGCCTGCCCAGACCCTGCCAAATTGAAGGAGCTCGATGAAGCGGCTCATCCCCCTTCGGACCTGCAGCAGGTCCCTCGTCTTCACCCCAGACAGCAACGACTTCATGCCACATTG